ATTAGATCTAGTTGTATGAATAGGTACAGGTAATCTTTGGATGTCATTTAACACATTTTTTTTTCCAATTTGAATTTTATTGACTTTTTCGAGTATGCAAACTTGGGGGGGGGTGGGGATACAGAAAGGAAGGGGAGGGGATGGGGAAGACAGGTTATCAGCATTCGTGTTTAAGCAGTTGTACAGGTAGACAGTTATACCGTTATACCAATATACCATTATGCATTTGTACATTTATACAGTTATACAAATATTCAGTTATACGATTATCCACTTTTACGTGGGTTCCCAGGTATATGTATATCTCCCCGTTAATCACCCTTCTCGTGTAGGTAGTTGTACGGTTATATAGTTACACTCTTATATCATTATGTCTTAGGTTGTTGTATATGGGCTCCTAGGTTTATTTACATTTCCCCGTTATGTGGTTGACCAAGGTTGTCCCTGGCGTATCTCCCACTACCTGTTGCGTAATGTAAGCTGAGGCATTTGCTTGTACACCTAGTGGATGCTGGTGACGTCACCTTTTTTGGGCCTTGGTGGGTGGTTTGCTTTCTGCCCACTAGTGTGGTTATAGCTTATCTCCAGCTTCCCGCCCTCATACCTCGGATGTTATGCTAGCCTTCCAAGTCTTGTGTGCCTCAAGTATATGAGTGCGTTTCCCAAATTGTGCTGCTGTCATAAGTTCGTACTCCCAGTTTTGTTCTACCTGTTTTATCACATCTTGGATAGTGGGGATTGTTGTTTTTTTCCATAACCTGGATATCGTCTGATTTGCTGATATGAGGGTGTGATAGAGAATCGCCCTAATGTGCTTCGGGATGCTCTTGGGCAACATAAACAGGATGCATGTTTGTGGGTTATCTAACCTGGGTGTCGGATATATTTTTTGTAAATGTTGGGTCACTTCCTTCCAGAATGAGCTAAGTGCGGCGCAGGACCACCAGATATGTAGCATGGTCCCCACCTCACTCCCACATCTCCAGCATATGTTGGTAGTGTTTGGCCACATCTTTTGGAGTTTGTCTGGTACTAAGTACCAGCGGTACAATAGTTTGCGTTGTAGTTCTAGGTGTGTGTGGCATGCTGTGAGTCCCTGATGCGCCAGATATGCCCGGTCCCAGGTGTCTTCTGGAAACGTCTGGCCCAACTCTTGGTGCCACGCCAGTTTGATCTTATCTAGTGTTTGTGTTCGTGTTGCTATTAGCTCCTGGTATCCCCATGATAGGGTTTTCCCCAGTGTCTTTTTGCCCACACAGTGTTTTTCAAGTCTCGTCATGTTCAGTTCATCGTCCCATTTATCTTCGGCGTCTAGCTTACTTGAAACGTAGGACTTTAGCTGCATGTAAGAGAATATGACCTTATTGGGCAGTGTGTATTCCTCCTGAATTGCCGGTAGTGCTTTCAGTCGCCCCCTGTCTATCACCTGATATATATGTCGTATCCCCCCTTTCACCCATGTCTCCCACGGGAAAGTTGGGATGTCCAGCCCTACTGTTTGGATTGGTGTGGCCATAGGAAGCTTTTGTTTTGCCACCATTTTATCTCTTATTTTGTGCCATATTTGTAGAAGGGTCTGGGTACTGGGCAGGAGTTTGTCCCTGGTGTGCTTAGGGCAGTTTCCTTGCCATATCAATGCTCGTAGGTCCCTTCTGGGTGCCCAGTGCGCCTCTATGGCTACCCATTGTGGAGCCTTGACAGTGAGGTTTATTTGTGTAATGTTATGGAGGTATGCTGCTCTATAGTAAGCCGTTAAGTTCGGGAGGCCCAGCCCCCCCCTGCGGACTGTCTGCTGTAGCGTCCCTGCTGCCACTCTTGCTTTTTTCCCCTCCCAAATGAAGGCACTGATGGTGTGCTGCATATTTTTGAGGTATTGCTTTGGTAGGGGTATCTGTAGTGTACGGAACAGGTATTGGATTTTTGGTATTAGCGACATTTTGACTGCTGCTATGCGTCCTGTCCATGACAGGTATTTTCCCTTCCATGCTTGCATGGAATCTGTGAACTCTTTGTGCATGCGTACATAGTTGTGGTGGAATAATTTATCAGGGTTTCTTGTAAGTTTGAGTCCCAGAAAGGTTAGGTGATCGTTTCTCCAGTCTAGGGGGAATGCCTCTCTCAGTCTGGACGTGAGGTTTGTGCCTAGATGCATCCCCAATGCTTGTGTCTTGGTGACATTCAATTTGTAATATGATACTTCACCATATGATTCTATGTGTAGCATCAGATTTGGCAGGGAGATTAGGGGCTGTGTGAGCGTTACTAGGATGTCATCTGCAAATAGATTGAGCTTGTACTCCCTGTCTCCTATTGTGATGCCCTGTATGGATGGTTCCGCCCTTATCGCCGCTGCAAGGGGCTCCAGTGCCAGGATATATAATAGTGGGGACAGGGGGCACCCCTGCCTGGACCCATTCGTTATGTTGATTTGTTTGGACACAAATCCTGCATTGAGTACCCTTGCTGTGGGGTGGGAGTATAGTGCTTTTACCCCATTTATAAATGATCTAGGGAACTTGTACTTTTGGAGCACTGCTTCTAGAAAAGGCCAATTAAGGCGATCAAAGGCCTTTTCTGCGTCCAATGAGAGTAAAACACCCTCCGTCCGATATCGTCTTAGGCTGTGTATGAGGTCGATCACTTTCCTCGTGTTGTCTGATCCCTGTCTACCTGTGGTAAAGCCCACCTGGTCATCATGTATCAGTGTAGGGATGATGTGTTTTAGCCTATTTGCCTGTATTTTAGCGTAGATTTTTGTGTCTGTGTTTAGTAGGGATATTGGCCGGAAGTTTTGACTACATGTGGGTGGTTTGCCTGGTTTTGGAAGTGTTATAATGTGAGCTCCTAGCATGTCTGCCGGGGCTTCTGCCTTTCGGGTGATGGCATTAAAGGTGTTTGTTAGGTGTGGTGCAAGAGTGGCAGCAAATCGTTTATAGTACGCGTTGGTAAACCCATCGGGTCCTGGTGCTTTCCCCTTGGGGAGGCTCGCTATTACCTGTAGCACTTCTTCCTCTGTGATAGGGGCTTGTAGGCCCTCCCTTTGGTCCTCAGTAAGGCCCGGTAGTGATATACCCTCCAGGTATTGTTCTATTCGTGTTTGTGACGGTTGGGGGGTGTTTGGGTCCCGACCCAGGTTGTACAGGGTCGTATAGTAGTCGGCGAACACGTCGCTGATGTCTTTGGGTGTAACCCTTTTTTCCCCTTTAGAGTTCAGTATGAATGGGATTTTTGTTTGTGCGTTCCTTTGCGACAGTCTCCTCGCTAAGAGTTTGCTGGCTCTATTTCCCTGGGTGTAGTGGGCTGCCTGTAGCTTCCGCATTGTGAACCCCATTTTTACTAGGTCATGTTTTGTGCCTTCGTCTATTACTCGTTTAATTTGTTCTAGGAGCTGTGGGGTTGGTGTGAGTTGGTTCTGTTTAGTTAGATTGTAGAGGGTAGTCAGCCATTCTTTTCTTTTTGTTTGGGTTGCCCTTTTTATTGCACTTGCTTTCCCTATAAGGAGTCCCCTTACAACTGGTTTGTGGGCCTGCCACAGTGTTTCTGGTGATATGTCTGGAGTTGTGTTGGTGTCAAAGTAGTTGGAGAGGTCGTCTTTAACTGTGTTGCTGTATTGTCGGTCTGTCAGTAGAGATTCATTTAGTCTCCACGGGCTTCGATGCTTGTAGTCATATGCGTCGCATAGCTCTAAGGTTATTGGGGCATGGTCTGACCACGTTATGGTACCTATCGTGCAGGACATGATGTGGTTGAGGTGGGCACCTTTTATATAGTACCCGTCAATACGTGAGTAAGTGTTATGTACCTGAGAGAGGAAGGTGTAGTCCCTCTCCCCAGGGTGTTGCAATCTCCATGCGTCGTAGTAATCGTGTTCTTTGAGCAAGCGTACTAGTGGTTTGCATTCCCTCTGGAGGGTAGCTGATCTGGGAGTGTTTAGCTGTACTGTGGTATCCCATTTGGGGTCCAGTATGTGATTGAAATCCCCACATAATATAGTAATGCCCCTCTGGACCGATTGCACTAGTGTGATGACTTTATGTAAGAAATTCCTCTGGTGTGTGTTGGGTGCATATAGGTTGACTATTGTGTATTCTAAATTGTTGATTTCGCATATCATGATAATATATCGCCCTTCTTTGTCTATGGATATGTATAACGGTTTGAAGGACACATCCTTGCTGATGAGGATGGATACCCCTTTCGTTTTGGATGTGGAGGTGCTATGGAATTGAGCTGTGTATTGCGCCTGGGCTAGGATTATTGATTTTTTGAGGTGTGTTTCCTGCAGGCACACTATATCGGGGCATTCCCTGCGCAGATCTCTTATGAGGCAATATCGTTTTACTGGGGTGTTTAACCCTTTTACATTATGACAGTGTATCTTCATATTCTATTGAGTGGTGTTGAAGTATCTTGCTTTTGACTTGGGGGGTCAGTGTCTGGTGTGCTACTCCTCCCTGGGTCCTATGGTCTCCAACTCGGATATATGCTACGTGGTCTCCAACCTGTCTGGTGGTGGGGGGAAGGGTGGGGTGGTGATCAAGGGTGGATGCAGTCATGCTAACCTTATGCAAGACCTTTGGGGTAAACAGTGCAACATAAAACAAAACATACAATATCACAGTATTACAATTGAACATTTCCCACGGAAGGGTAGGGCACCCATTATGTGGTGCCATTGGGGTGCGTAGTGAACTCTGATGAGTGATGTGTGCGGTGTAGCTAGGTGAGCATGCCATGCCCGTTACACGCTATCTTTTTGCCTGCGTGTGTTTTGCGGCTAAATGGTGAAAGGTGAGATGGGTGTGAGTTCTAGCGTGTCTGGGGTGTAGCTTCTGGACAGGCCTGTATTTAGGTCTGGGCTCCTATCAAGTTGTTGTGAGTGAGTTTTTTTTTTTGTTTTTTTTTTCGTCTCTATTTAGTGTGCTAGGCACTGACATGTGCCAGGTTAATGGTGTGGCTGTGTGAGTTATATATCGAGTGATAGGGTTTGAGTGTGCGTGTCATGTGTGTCTGGTATACTTGCGGCCCATTGTCCGACTGCTCCCTCTGGAGTCTCTGTTAAGTCCCATCTCTTGCTTGGAATCCCTTTGTGGGATCATTTTTTGGCCCTCTTCCACTCCGGAGACAGTCTGCGCTGATCTGCAGCCTTTGCCCCTGCCTGGGTTGGTTGAATGCCCCAGCTGCGCAGTAGTTTGTGGCCTTCCTCTGGCGTGTTGATCGTTGTTAGTGTGCCATTCCTCCTGATCAGCAGGCGGACCGGGTATCCCCACCTGTACTGGACGCCATTGTTGCGCAGGGCCTCTGTGGTCGTTTTGAATTCTTTCCTTTTCTGTAGTGTAGCCGCTGACAGATCCGTGAAGATTTTTATGTGAGTGAATTTTTGTGGCAGATCCCTTTGCCCTCTCGTGGCCTGGAGAATTGCCTCTTTTACGTGGAAGTAGTGAAGGTGGGTTAGCACGTCCCTTGGTGTGTCTTGCGGGAGGAACGCTGGCTTTTGGACCCTGTGGTACCTGTCCAGGATCAGCATCTCCGCTGGTAGCTCGGGGGTCAGTGCTTTGAAATACTCTATGAGGAAGGGGTGCAGATCTTGTTGAGACACCTCCTCCGGTATGCCTCTAATTCGCAGATTTTGCCTTCGTGAGCGGTCTTCCAGATCCATGATTTTCCTTTGGGACTGGTTCAGTAACTGCTGCAGGTTGTGCACTTGGTCTGCCAGCTCGTTATGAACAGATGTCTGCTCCTCCACGCGCTGTTCCACCCGTGCGGTCCTGTCCCCCAGCTCTTGCACGTCTTTGCTGAGTTCCCTCAGAGTGCTTTGGATGGATGCCAGGATTTTGCTGGACATATCCTCCAAGCATGTCTGCAGAAAGTCTTGCGTGACTGGCAGGTTGTGGGAGCCCGTGGGCGTCCTTAGCGGCAGTGTGTCGTTCCCGCCGTCGCCATCTTGGGCCTGGTCCAGCAGGCCTGTAGCTTTCGGCGTAGAGGCTCGGGCCGCGAAGAACTCCGATCTGTCGGATTTTTCTGCTTGTTTCTTGTGCTTTGGGTGGGACATCGTTAGGTGAGTCGGGGGTCCCGGTTTTTCCCGCAGGCAATGCTGTTTTTTGTCGCTTTTAGGGCTAGCTTGGAGCGGAGCTCAATCCCGTGCGTCCATCCGCGTTGCCCGCTAAGCCACGCCCCCATTTAACACATTTTAAACTGTAGCAGTATGTTTATTGTTACAATTAGAAATATAAACAATATACTTCAAATGTGGTGCATTAAGGTGACACTGTCACAAATGGAGGTGTTAAATCTTTAAGAGAGACTAGGGGCTAAAAATGAAATGGGACCAAAATTGGAAGCGGGGCTTTTTAGGACACCATCTAGCACCATCCCTGATATATTTTTAGATGTCACCTGGTTTAATACACAATAGGTCCTCAATAAAAATACATGTAAAATAGCATTGCAACAAGCAGCTACTATAAGACTATTTCTCCCAAGAGTCCAATGGGTTCAATTACCTATTGTCGACATTTGTTTTTGGGATCTATAATTATATTTAGTGTTAATTTGAATTTGTGACTAATAGATGTGAGAGTACCTTAGATTATATTTATGTTAAAGTCCTCTAAGATTTCACATGCACCCAAGGATCCACCCAGAACCTTACACGAAAACAGGTAGTCTCGGAATTGTTGCTATTTTTAGGATCACTAAGAATGAGATCTCAAGAGTACACACTTCAAAGACAGAACAGATTCGATATACACAATGGGTGGAGTTAATAAAAAGAAATTGCCAAAGTAGTACGATAAAAAAAGATTCATCTATAAGAATGTAAGTACATAACAAAGACTACCTGCAGTCTGGACTTCAGAGAATGGGAAAATTGTTATTATAGCCAATATGGCAAGATGGGCAGAAAAACTGAAAGCCAGGAGCAAATCAAGGTCCAAATACCATTAATTATTGTAATCAAACTAGCCAAAGGGCAACATAACACACCTGTACATATTTTTTAAAACAGAACAACTAACGAGATACGGACATTTATTTACTATACCCATGAGATTCCAATTAGGATCAACAGAAGGCAGATGGAAACGACATCTATTTTTTGTGTAAACATTTTCTGCTATCATCTGGAACTGGTACCGTTTTGTAAGAGGTAGCTTATAATAGGGTCTAGACCAATCGGATGTCTTCTTTTCACAAAGTGCAGTGAGTTGCTAAATGAATGTGTGAAGGCTTCCATTAATTGACCATCTGCTAAAGTCTAGCATGATACCATGTCCAAGCCTCAGTGTATCTTGAGACTTATAGCACCTCCATATCCAAAGCCCTGACAATTAGACTTGCACATGGTGAAAACTTTCTTCTGAATCAATTTGGTTTGGATTTGTATAATTTCTCGGTTTTGAAGAATTTCAGTTAGAAAAATTGGTTCAGTGCGAAGAATTTGGATCGATTACAATATTGCTTATTCAAATCGATACAAATTAGAGAAAGTGGTGCATAGAGTGTCTTTCTAACAAAAACCTCTCAAACAGTAAATTAATCATTCTAAGTTTGTGTTAAGTGGCAGTGGCTACTAGCAGCACAACCCACATTCCAAATTTTGAATCCACTAAAATAGCCCGACTCTTATGCTGTTTAGTTTATTCAAATACATTTTGGTTCAGAATTCGGAAATGGAACGAATTAGCTAAAATGCAGTTGCATTTCAATTTTGACTGAAACAAAGTCCCACGTCTACTTTAAATGTTTCTAAATGTACTCATTAATTCAAAAGAAACTAAAGGCTTTAGATTAGATTGATTCTCAGACTGAGTGGGTAGGTAAAATTGCCTAATGATTCCCCTCCTAGGCATACTCTGATTGAAGTTTAGAAAGCTATATCATTATTAGAATTATTACTGCTATTATGATTATTCACGGCCATTGCATTGATGTGGCAGATGTCTTGTATCGTCAATACACAATAGTTTATGGTAGACTTTCATTGTATTACCATTATTCTATTGTGTATTGTATTGCCATTCTAATTTTGTCAATTTTATTAGTTACAATTTTAATGGAATAATACCTTGCATGGCATTTCCTTACTCACCATTTTATATGTATGGAAAACATCCAGTATTTTAATTTATTATTATTGACATTTATATAGCACCAATTTATTCCGCAGCACTTTACAATATTATAAAGGGAGGAATATAGAAATAAATTGGACAATTACAAAATGTTGTTAATGAGGGCACTGCTCAAACAAAAGTGTGTATATAAATTATTACAAAGTGCTTATAACTAGGAATTTCTGACAGCCGATTTTCAGTGCAAATTAAAATAATACATGGGAATTTATATGTAATGTTTCCATATTTTTCTAAGTTTCCATCATAAATGAATTTGTGAAGTTGTTGCATTTTACTCTGGGTCTCCTTAGTGAGTAGTTCTGCTTACTTGACATCTAGTCTGTGCACAGCTATCTTAGGGAAAGGACAAAAACGAAAACTCTGAAAGTGGATTTGGAAAATGCTCAAGCAGGATCGAAAAACCTTTGTGATCACAAATTCAAGCTTATTATTGTATTTTCCCACAGGAAATGTGTCTGAGTGTATAACAGAGCCCCACAGCAATAATACTCCCAGTAATGTGTCTGAGTATATAACAGAGCTCCACAGCAATACTCCCAGTAATGTGTCTGAGTATATAACAGAGCTCCACAGCTATAATACTCCCAGTAATGTGTCTGGGTGTATAACAGAGCTCCACAGCAATAATACTCCCAGTAATGTGTCTGAGTGTATAACAGAGCTCCACAGCAATAATACTCCCAGTAATGTCTGAGTGTATAACAGAGCTCCACAGCAATAATACTCCCAGTAATGTGTCTGAGTGTATAACAGAGCTCCACAGCTATAATACTCCCAGTAATGTGTCTTGAGTGTATAACAGAGCTCCACAGCAATAATACTCCCAGTAATGTGTCTGAGTGTATAACAGAGCTCCACAGCAATAATACTCCCAGTAATGTGTCTGAGTGTATAACAGAGCTCCACAGCAATAATACTCCCAGTAATGTGTCTGAGTGTATAACAGAGCTCCACAGCAATAATACTCCCAGTAATGTGTCTGAGTGTATAACAGAGCTCCACAGCAATAATACTCCCAATAATGTGTCTGAGTGTATAACAGAGCTCCACAGCAATAATACTCCCAGTAATGTGTCTGAGTGTATAACAGGGCTCCACAGCAATAATACTCCCAGTAATGTGTCTGAGTGTATAACAGAGCTCCACAGCAATAATACTCCCAGTAATGTGTCTGAGTGTATAACAGAGCTCCACAGCAATAATACTCCCAGTAATGTGTCTGAGTGTATAACAGAGCTCCACAGCAATAATACTCCCAGTAATGTGTCTGAGTGTATAACAGAGCTCCACAGCAATAATACTCCCAGTAATGTGTCTGAGTGTATAACAGAGCTCCACAGTAATAATTCTCCCAGTAATGTGTCTGAGTGTATAACAGAGCTCCACAGCAATAATACTCCCTGTCACGGCTGCTAGTGTGGTCCAACATGCAGAAACTATGTAAACATATACATACAAAAGAAAAGGAAAATAAAAGGACAGAGCGGAAACCGGACCTTAAAATGGCCGGACTAATACGCTAGAGATAGAGAATGGTCACAGGGAAAGCCGAGGTCAAGGAAGCCAGAAATACTCAAATACCGTTTAAACAAGCCAAGTCAGGGGAACCAGAAATCGGAATAACCAGGGAAAAGCCAAGATCAGAATACCAGGAAGTCAGATTCACAAAGATAAACGCACTCTCGGGAACCAGGAACAGGAAACCACGACAGGGCAAGGAACTAGAGTGAATTAGGGATTTAAATATCCCTGTCTGGGTTCTGATTGGTCAGATGGTGACCTCTGACCCCAGAACGTGCGCGTGCGTTGACGTCGCGCGCACTTTTGTATTCATTTGAGGGGTGGAGCTTAAGATGGACGCGACCATGTGGTCCGCGCCATCTTTGATTTGGGCGCGATGCCCAGAGAAGGCAGAGGAGCGGCTCCCGGTTCGCCAATGAGCAGGTATGCTCGTGGTGTCGGCGAGGCCGTGCCAGTCGGGCACGGCTGCGGTACGCGGCGGGTCGGGAGCCGCAACACTCCCAGTAATGTGTCTGAGTGTATAGCAGAGCTCCACAGCAATAATACTCCCAGTAATGTGTTTCAGTGTATAACAGAGCTCCACAGCAATAATACTCAAAGTAATGTGTCTTTAAACTACAAAAAAAACATGTATACAAATATGTCATGTACTGTATTGTCATATACATGTATAGAAATATGCTAATAAGATAAGACAGTGTTTATGTTCTTAATTAAATTTTAGTTGTATAAATTGTTATTTCACCTCTGGCCACAGACCCAGTCTCACCCCTAAAATTAAAATGTCCCTCCTTGTCCATTTGAAATGTGGGAGGCATGCTCAACCTCTTTGATGTGGAAGGTTTGTTAATCAGACCTTCCACATTAAATTAGTATCTTCAACAAACAATGCAAAATTCTATATTCATCTACATATATAGACATTGTAAATATTTTGTAGTCACTCCTGACTTCAATTACCCATGACTATCCCCCACTGCCCACCGCAGCACATGTATCAGACATTCCAATCTATGGATCTGGAACTTTAGCATATATACTAGTGAACAGTGTGGCTATTCAATTATTTAGAACGGGTTGTAGGTAAACTCACTTGCTGGTCCTGCACTGTGCCCTAGTATTTCTACTTACGTTAGAGATTGCTGGATCTGCCTGAGACGCCTTATGGATGCGCCGGTCCTGCTCATTGGTGAGTACTGTCAGGTCCCGGAGCTTTGTTTATATTGATTTTCTTTACATAGTTACATAGTTACATAGTTACATAGCTGAAAAGAGACTTGCGTCCATCAAGTTCAGCCTTCCTCACATTTGTTTTTGCTGTTGATCCAAAAGAAGGCAAAAAACCCAGTTTGAAGCACAATTTTGCAACAAGCTAGGAAAAAATTCCTTCTTG